GCCACCTACCGGCTGAGTGACCTCGGGCAAAGTTCCTTAACCTCTCCCGCGTCGGTTTGCTCATCTGCAAAATAGAGACAATAACAAGACCCACCTCTTTGGGGCACTGTGAGGATGCACGGAGATAACACAGAGCCTGACCCCGGCCTGGCACACGCCAGGTGCTCAGGAAATGATAGCTAACATCACTACTCTTAGTGTGATTATCAATAGCTCCCCTGTCCCAGCTGACCCAGGATCTCTGCACTCCCCACCACCCTGGGAGGTCCTGGCCTGTCCTCAAAGAATACCCAAGGGAAGTCTTTGGGAAAGTGAGGGAACTTTCCTGCCCTTACTGATTAACAAGGCAATTAGGATGAGAGCCAAATGACAGTAGAAATAGAACTCGCCAAGAAGAGCTGCGTTCTTAGAGAAGAGAGCTGCATCTCAGCGGGGGAGGGGAGCCCAGGGAGGGAGAGACCACAGCTGCAATAGGAGATTAGCCATGTGACCATCCTCCATTTTGGAGGGGAAGGGCCAAGGGCCGGACAGCTCTGCTTGAACTCTGAGCCCTGCCCAGGCTCTTCCACTTGCCAGGGCCTGCCTTTTTTTCTGGTCAGCTCCTCGCCCCGTCCCTCATTCTAATGGTGGCTACTTCCACAACCACTGATAATTCTCGCTAATTATGCAAATACAGGCCAGCACTGTGAAAATAGGGTACCAACTAAGAGCGTGGGCTTTGGAGGCAGGCCAAGTATCTGGCATATAATGAATGATCACCATCATCATCTCACATCTTCACAATAACCACTAGATGACAGTGAGCTTTGGAGCCAGACTGCCCCGGGGTTCGGTCCCTGCTCCACCACTTTCTAGGTGTGTAAAGCCTGATAGACTGCTCAACCACTCGGCTTCAGTTTCTTCCTCATCTCTGAGATGGGGATGACAAAAATAGCACCTACCTCACTGAGCTCATTTGCAGATGAAATGGTATCGTGTCTTTGAAGCACTTAGCACAATGCTTGCAAGATGGGAAGCACTTGATAAATGTTAGTTACTGTGAACCACTTCTCAATTTGGGGCATGACGAAACAGAAGGAAAGAGAAATAAAGTAACTTGACCGAGGTCACCAAGATTGTCAACGGTGAAGCCAAGATTCCACCCTGAGCTGTTTGACTCCAAAGTCAGAGTTCCCTTGGCTCTTCTACGTTGTCCCATATTTTTATTACCCTCATTAAATACACTTAAGCCAGAAAACAATTTAAAAATATATACTAGCTATAATGACAATGGGTTGAAACCCTCCAAATATACTTAAATCCATGAGTTTATGATTAAAAAAAATTAATCACCTTTGGAGATGCTAAGAAAGTAACTCATTATTGTGAAAACTGTAAATAAAGGGAAAGGAATCAAGCACTGATATGTTTTTCCTGTGTGGCTCGTAAAAGTTCACTCAGGTTAACCATGTAGTGAAGAGAGGGAGGTTTCTGTTAGTAAAGGTGTTTCAGCTGTCAGATGCAGGAAGAATGACAGAATATCACTATTTTGCAACCCCTAATGAAATAATGGATCCAAGCACTGATTATCCACAGCTACTTACGATGTATCTCTCTTGATAGAAGAACACACCCGGGGAGTAATCTTCCCAGATGTTGAACCTGAATCACATCAAGCTTCTACATATAAAGATGCAACCAAACTCCAGGCTGTGGGAAACTCTACAAGACAAATGACCTTGTTTCTTCAACAAATAAATTGCTAGGTGGGGGGAAAGAGAAAAGGAGGTAATGGTAGTTTAAAAAACGCTTAAGCAACACCAATCATGTGCATTATAGAGACTGTATCTGGATCCCAATTTAAACAAATTACTTTAGAAATGAGACCATTGGAGAATTCGAACAATCAGATATTTGATATTAACACATTGCTGTTAATTCTATAGGACTATTTTTTAAGTCCTTATCTCTTAGAGATGTGTACTGAAATATTTACAGATGAAATGATGTAATATCTGAGATTTGCTTCAAAAGAACCCCGGGGTAGGGTAGGCCTGCAGATGAAACTCAGTGGGCCATGAGTTGATAATCATTGAAGTGGGGTAACAAGTACATAGGAGTTTGCTATATTATTCTTTCCCCTTTTGTATGTTTGAAATCTTCCATAATAAAAACTACAAGAAAAAAACAAATGAGGGGAGGACCGGAGAAAGAAGGAGAAAGAGAAAATCCCAAGCAGGCTTCGCACTGTCAGCTTAGAGCCCGATGTGGGGTTCCATCTCACGAACCATGACCTGAGCAGAAACCAAGAGTCGGACACTTAACTGAGGCACCCAGGCGCCCCTAGACTATTTCTAACGCTGAATGTCTGCCATGTGCCAGGCACAGTTTTAGGTCCTTGATTTGTTCTCAGTCATTGAATCTCTGAGCCACCATAAGGGCAGGGAACCTGTATTGTGCCCATTTTAGAGGTAAGGATGCGAAGGTCTAAAGAGGTTAGTTAACTTGTTCCAGGTCACAAACAGCAAGTGGAGAATCTGAGATCTGAGCTCAGACATTCCAGCTCCAGAGCCCGGGTGCTTAATTAAGTTCTACTATAGGCCCAACATGCAGTGCTAATCATCCATCCACCTGAGCCCCTCTGGGGTCCTTTCTGCATTCACAGGAGCTCCCTGACCCTCCTGCATCCCTACCTTGCCCACTGCCAGGCAGAAGAGTGCGGGGGCTGTGGGAACCTGCCAGTGGGACCCCACCTCGAGAGTTGAGGTGCGTGAGAAGAGCACTCCTGAGAGTCTCTGACCCATGAATTTTGGGCAAGGGCGGAGCCCTGGCTTGAGGTGGGGGCAGAGCTGTGCCAGGCAGGAGCAGCTGAACATTTCCTCCTTGTACTCGCAGCCCTTCCTGTCTTGCACTGAGTGTGGCAAGGCCTGATGGGCCCTCACCCAGGTGTGTGTGCCCACGGGGAGGACCGGCCGAGCCAGCAGGCTGACTGCAGGAATGGGATGAATCTTCTCTGAGAGGGGGAAAGAGCCAGGAGGCCGCACACAATGACATCGAGGTGTCCTCATGGCCTGTTCCCAATTGTCTTCCAGCTAGTGAGAAGCGATATGAGTTTGGCCTCCTGGCTCTCTGGAGATTACAATCTAAAGGATTTGAGGATTAAAATCTCCAAATATTCTGAGTGCTTGTAGCCACCCCGGCAGGCCGGCACCCTGTCGGCATAGTTTTCTGCTATTTGAATCGTCTCCCCATCCTCTCCCTCACCTCATTCATTTTTTAAAAAATTGTTAATGTTTATTTTTGAGAGAAAGAGACAGAGAGACAGTGTGTGAGTCGGGGAGGGGCAGAGAGACAGGGAGACACAGAATTCGAAGCAGGCTCCAGGCTCTGAGCTGTCAGCAGGGCCCTATGGCAGGGCTCGAACTCGTGAACTGTGAGATCATGACCTGAGCCTGATGCTCAACCCACTGAGACACCCCTCCCTCACCTCATTCCTTGATTCGGCACTTACTCCATGGCAGGCACTGTGCCTGGCACTGAGGATATAAGGGTGGATAAAACAAGGTTTTATTTATCTCAGGAAGCTCACAGTATGCTAGGGAGGCAGACGCAGGAACAGAGAAATTCGAGGGTGAAGGAGAAAATACCTGCTCCTCACTCCCTCTCCCCAGGAGAGGCCTGTGGGGCTTAGCTCCCCATCTCTGGCCTAGTCTGGGTGGGTCACAATCCCTCTGTGAGTCTGCCTTCCCTATACCTTCTTGTGGGCTTTCCTTTAAAAGAGTGGGGAAGATAGAACGGTTCAGTCTAGACCAGCATAGTTGAACAGAAAGAAATATGTGAGACACAAGTGTGTGTCACATAACTAATTTAACTTGTTTTCATATCCACGTGAAAAAAAGCGAAAAGAACAAGTAGAACTAATTTAAAAAAAATTTGTTTGCATTTATTTCTTTTTGAGAGACAGAGTGAGACAGAGCATGAGTGGGGGAGGGGCAAAGAGAGGAGACATAGCATCTGAAGCAGGCTTCTGGCTCTGAGCAAGCGGTCAGCACAGATCCTGACACGGGGCTCGAACCCACAAGCCGTGAGATCATGACCTGAGGCAAAGTCATCGTGACCTGAGGCAACGTCGGATGCTCAACAGACTGAGCCACCCAGGCGCCCCACAAGGAGAACCAATTTTAATAATATATCTTATGTAACCCAACATACCCCAAATATTATCACTTCAACCTGGAGTCAATATAAAAAATGTGAATAAGATATATTACATTAGATTTTCATGCTTGGAAAGGCAGTGTGTGTTTTACACTTACAGTATATCTCAGTTTTGACTCTTCACATATTAAGTGTTTGGCAGCTACCCGCGGCTAGTGGCTACTCCATTGGACAGCACACATCCAGATGATCAGTTTGGGATTTGGTCGGCCCTGGCCAATTTTGGAGCTGGAAACTCAACTCCATCACCCAAGAAACAGGCTGTGTCTACTGTGCCAGGAAGAAGGGTAACCGCAGCCTCATGTTCCTGCCCAGAACACAGACCCCCTGGGGGGCCAGGCAGGAAAATGGGCTGAGGCTGCGCCCTGGGTGTGGCCCATTAGCCAATCAGAGAGCTAAGGGCTAAGGGGTGGGGGGAAGGGAGCCCCCTTCGTCGGGGCTCTGACAACCCCAATGTGGGCCCAGAGAGAGCTCAGAGACACCGTGCCCTTATTCTGTGGTCTCCTCCTTGTCACATGACTTTCCATTCCTTCCTCCAGCTGGGTCTGCCAAAATGCTACCTTCAAGATGTAGGGACAAAATCAAGGGAAAAAAGAAGGCAGACCAGAAGAAAACACACCAATATTTTAACCATGATTTTTCTCCAGGTTATGGAAGTAGATAACTATTTTTTTCTTCCCATTTTACCACATTTGCTTAAAATTTTTTAAATTATGAACACACTTTAATTATGTAACCGGAAAAGGAAATCTGTATAGATTTTGAAAATCGTGCTTGGTGTTCAAAGACCGGTTTAAATGCCAACTCCCTTGAAGGATTCCCAGGCCTCCCTCTGTGTCACTTTCCTCTGTTATGGTTCTTACTATACAGCCCTGAGGGTCCCGAGTTTAACCGTGGGCTTGTCTTCTCTCCTCTCCAGCATCTTGAGGGTGGCTTCTGCATCTTGCCATCACCATAAGGCCTGCCTCCGTGTCTTCTAGCCAGTAGGGGCTCTCTACATGTTGTGGAATGGATGACTGAGGCAAGCTGGAGCCTGCAAGGCTCCAATTGGGCTGGATGCCTTAGGGTTCAACAGAGTCCTGCTATTCCTTCTTCTTCCAGCCAAGCTGCTCTGCTCCCTGACTTCCATTTCCCAATGTATAAAATCACAAAGTCCACAGGTGGCAGGGGACACACACCTTGAGAGTTCACACTGTCCAGTCCAGGTCATACTCTTCCTTCCTCTCCTCTCCCTGTTTCTTGATAGGTTATGTGCTTTATCCACTTGAGCCCAACCTGGTTTGTGAACATGTCAGAATTTAAAGTCCCCTAGTGCCAAAAGAAATTGGATAGCCTAGAAGGAATGGATAAATTCCTAGAAACGCACAACTTTCCAAGACTGAATCATGAAGAAATAGAAAATCTGAAGAGACTGTAACTAGTAAGGAGAATGAATCAGTAATCAAAAACCACCCATCGAAGAAAAGCCCAGGACTATATGGCTTCACTGGTGAATTCTACCAAGCTTTTCAAGAATTCACTCCAATCCTTGTCAAAATCTTCCCAAAAATTGAAAGAAGGGAACACTTCCAAATTCATTTTATCACACCCGCAGTATTCTGATATCAAAGCCAGACGATGCTATCACAAGAAAAGAAAACTACTAGGTGTTTATATCCTGATGAACATAGATGCCAAAGTCCTTAACAAAATACTAGCAAACTGAATTCAACACATGTAAAGAATCACACACCATGTCCAAGGAGGATTTATCCCTGGATGCAAAGACAGTTCAACAAACAGAAATCAATTAAAGAAATACATCCAAGAACAGAATGAAAGATTTTTTAAAAATCACATTAGCATCTCAGTAGATGGATTTGACAAAATTCAGCATCTTTTCATGATAAAACTCAACAAACCAGGGATAGAAGGAAATTACCTCAACATAATAAAGGCAATATGTGAAAATCTTGTCACTCATATCATACTGAATGTTGAAAAACCGAGAGCTTTTCCTCTAAAGCTACTTTCTCTCTTGCCACTTCTATTCAACACGGTACTGGAAGTTCCAGCCAGAACAATTAGCAAGAAAAAAGAATAAAAGGCATCCACATTGGAAAGGAAGAAGTAAAAATATCAGCTTGCAGATGATATGACCTCATAGGTAGAAAACCCCCCAAAGATTCCAGAAAACCCCATCAGAATAAATGAATTCAGTAAAGTTATGGGATACAAAATCAACATACAAACCAGTTGGAGGGACGGATAAAGAAGTATAGTGTACACACAATGGAATATTATTCAACCTTAAAAAAGAGGGAAACCCTGCCTTTGGGATAACATGGATGAAACTTGAGGACATTATAAATAAGCCAGTCACGAAAGGAGAGAAACGCTGTATGATTCCACTTTCATGAGGTATCTCAAGGAGACAAACTCATAGAAGCAGAGAGTTGAATGGTGGTTTCCAGGGGCGGGGGGAGGAGGAGGAAATGGAGAGTTGTTGTTTAATTAGTATAAAGTTTCAGCTATGCAGGATGAATAAGTCCTAGAGATCTGCTGTACGGCATCGTGCTTGTAGTTAACAATATTGGATTGCACACTTAAAAATATAAAAGGGTATGTCTCACGGTAAATGTTCTTATCACAACAAAATGTTTCTTTAAAAAAAAAAAAGGAGGAAGAAGAAGAAGAATTCAAAGGCAACAGGCCCGGTCAACTTGTCCTCAATTCTAGCTCCAGCCCTGGTGGTAGAGGCACAGCCACTTTCTCTTGTTTTCTTTCCTGGGTTTCCTTCCGGGACCCCTAGTGTGACAGAGCCCTTGCCCGGCCCAGTTGATGGCTTGGGGCTGTGTTGGGGGTGGAGGAGCTCATGCCTGGTTGTCAGGCCTTGGCCATGGCCTCTTTTGTGAGATGCAACTCTCTGCTGGTTCATGTTCTGGCCTCTTTCCAGAAACAGTGCAAATCTGTCTCACGCCAGTGACTGTCAACAGTTCTGGGGAAATTTTTTTTTTTTTTTTTTTTAACATAAGGCTGATCAAACACTTGTAACGGGCCTGAGACATCTCCCAGACCTCACTGTCACGAGTGCTGCAGAGAACAGTCTTCACAGCCTCAACCACACAGACGCCACTGAAATATTTACAAGGTTCCTGGCTCATGAAACGGAGCTTTCCGCTTAGGAGAAAGGGAAGGGACCTGGTGCGTGTGAAGTATCTACAACGTGTCGCACCACTCAGGGAGTTTCACTTTCGTGGTTTGTTTCTGTGAGGGACCTTCTGGAAGCTGACGCTTGCTCAAGGAAATGAACTTCTAATGGTGGCATTCTGAGCCTGCTGTAGTCTTGCTCGAGGGTAGAGGGCTAGGAAAGGGGTCTCTCCAACCCACCTCTTGGAGAGTTGTCTCCTGTGCTTGTGAATTCAGCTGCCTTGCCTAGACCAACCTCCACCCTCACCCTGGGCTAGGTCATCTTGGGATTAGGCACACAATTGGCGCCTCCTGTTTTCCTTCCTCCAAGCACTTATTTTTGTGCCCTTCTGGTCCCTTGAAGGGCCGCCCTTCCTATCTCTGCCACCACTCTCTGTCTGTGGAATCCTACTCTTTTCTTTCAGATGCTGTTCAAAAGCCACCTCCTCCAGATCCTTTCTGTCCCCCAACCAAATATAACCGCTCCTTCTTCGGAACCTCCTGAAAGCACATCAATCATGTGTGACTTAGTCTGTAGGGTACCAGGGGATAAACACCTGTCATGTCACACCTGACTAGAATTTTATGGCTCTTTGTAGCACACGCTACAGACCGGTGCTTGTTATAAGTTTCTGAACAATGACGAGGGTAGTGCCCATTCAACACACATTAGGGGCATTAAACTGAGTTCCCGAGGGTGTGGATGGCTGTTCCACATCTTTGTCTCCTCAGCACCTAGCATGGAGCTGGCACACAGTAAGCTCTTGATAAGTGGCCCTGAATGGATGTTCACAACAGCTCTAACCTGTCAGGCCTATCACATCAGGCCCTGTGCGAAGCTTGTTCCTAATTAGCTCATCGAGTCCTCCCAATCACTCTTTGAGACAGGCACTAAGGTTCCCCACTAAAAAGCAAGGCCCACAGGGCAGGGATTTGTGTCTTTTGTGTTAGATGCTGTATCTGCGTGATTGCCTGAGATGTAGCAGGCCCTCGGTGAATATTGGTTGAATGAGTGAATTAATGAATGAATATCCATTTTACAGATGAAAAAACTAAGCTTGGAGAGGTTTAATGACTTGCCTAAGTGGTAAGATCAAAATTTGCACCCAGATAGACCTAATGTAAAACCTACCTGTATTCTTCTTTATCAGTGAGCTCTACCCAGTGGAAGAGGAGTGGGGGCTGGAAGGATAGTCTTACTTTTTTTTTTTTTTTAATGTTTATTTATTTTTTGAGAGAGAGAGGGAGATGGAGCGTGAACAAGGGAGGGAGGAGAGAGAGGGAGACAGAATCTGAAGCAGGCTCTAGGCTCTGAGCTGTCAGCATAGAGCCCGATGCGGGGCTCAAACTCACGGACTGTGAGATCGTGACCTAAGCTGAAGTTGGATGCTTAACCGACTGAGCCACCCAGGCATCCCGATCGAGTCCAACATTTAAGGATCTTCCCATCTGGTAGAGAAGCAGACGTGCGCACATAAAAATCCCATAGCACAACGTGTGGTCTCAACAGAACCCGTGGCCATGCTAGGAATCAGGGAGGGCCAGCCCCAACAGCAAGACCCAGGGGACAGAAATGACTTATCAAGGGTCTGGACACTGCTAAGAGCAACAGAGCAGATGGGGCTGGGTGTGAAGAGCCTGTAAACCGCAGCTCCTGCACTTGGCTCCCCCTGCCCCAGCTCCCGGCAAACGCCCAGAAGTTGGGGGGTGGGGAGGAGAGAGGGGGACTGGAATGTGGTTTCATACCTGTAAGCAGTCCCTGCAGCTGGGAAGAGGCTTCATGTCCCTGTGCTGTGGAGACACATCTGGGGAGGCCTCTTGTCACGGGGGAGGGGGTGAGGAGGTAGGAATGGAAACCCTAGCATAGAGAAGTTGTGTCACCAGGCTGTGGCTGGCCAGTTCAGGAGGTCAGGTTCTTTGTGGCAGGGCTGCTGGAGGGGGAGGTAGGAAGGGCCTATAAGGACAGCAGTGAGAGGGGCAGGGGGCCAGGGACCAGGAGGACAATTTGTAGGGAGGCAGCCACTGCTGAAGCCCAGGTAAAGCCAGGAGGGCACATTGGTATGCCTGAGCTCACCTGGACCTCCACCTCTCATAGCCCACCCTGAGAAACCTGCTTGCTGTGAGGATCGGAGCTCTAGCCACTGCCTCGGCCCTTCCCTCTTACTGACTTCAAATGTGCAGGTTCTCTCTTCATCCCTGGGGGACAGGGGCTGTTGCGGGTTGCGGGGGGGGCAGTTATGGGTAAGGATCTGGGAAGAGGTACCCGGAAAGCTCTGCTTTTGCCCATCTAGGGAGCCGGAAAACCCCCAGCTCCCCCCACCACACCCCGACCAAGTGATGTCACTGAAACACTCTTGGCCTGTTGGTCCTGGAGATGGGGTCACATCCACCCTTCTCATCTCAGCTTGACCCCCAACGTGTCATGTAACTTTGGGTTTGTCACTCACCCTCTTTGGCCTCTTGTTTCTATGGCTGTAGAAAGAGAAATCTCGCCTCTGTCCACACCTCCGCCCCCCCCGCCCCCCGTCCCACCTCCCAGGCGCTTGCTGCAAACAGAGCTGGCTGAGAAGCGGAGCAGAACAAGGATGGGGATGGGCTGCCTTGCTTGCGTTGGCCTGAAAGGAGGGGAAAGGAAACGTGGGGGCCCACACCCTCCCCTGCTCTGAGGAGCGGCCCCGGCCACACGGACTGGTGGTCTCTGAGTCTGTCCCTCTTACCTCAGCCTGGTCATCGAAGACGGTGAGGGGGTTCTGGGAGAGAGGGAAGAACTTTCTTCTGACTCTCCCACCCCCCTCCAGGTGCTGCTCTGGGCCTCTTCCCTCCTTGGCCTCACTCTGCAGGATGTCGTCATGTATTCCATGATTCAGCCACTGTCCACATGCTAACGACCAAGGAGCCCCAAACCTCCGAATCCAGCCCAGTCCCAGCTGCCGCACTGCTCGACTTGATGAGGCCCCAGAGCTGGGCTCCAGGGTGGGAAAGGGCATGACATTCCCCTAAAATACAATGCAAGGTGCCCCCTGAGCTATGTAAGGAAGGCACTGCCTAGACATCTCTTCTGGGCACCAGGAGCCTCTAGCTAACTGCCTAGGAGACATCTCTACCTAGATATCCCAGGAGCACCACAAACTCAACCTGACCCCCCCCCCAAACACATCAGCCCCATCCTCCCTCTTACTAATGGCACCATTCTCCCAGGGTCTCAGCCTACAAATCCCTCTGTCTTCAGCCTCTTCCCAAGTCCTGTCAATCCTGCCCCAAGCTGTCTGCCTCTCTCCATCTTTTCTGCCCCTGGATCATTTGTCTTATTTTTAAATTAGCAAACATGCATGGGGCACTTGGTATATGCCTGGCTCTGCTCTGAGTGCTTTACTAATACTAACTCAGTGAGGAAACAGAGGCACAGAGAAGCAAAGCATCTTGCCCAGGGCCGGGATTTGAGCCCAGGCAGACCGCTCTGCAGTCTGGGCTCCAGGCCGCCACAAGAACTCACAGAGTCTGCATTCTTTTTTAAAATTTTTTTTTTCAACGTTTTATTTATTTTTGGGACAGAGAGGCACAGAGCATGAACGGGGGAGGGGCAGAGAGAGAGGGAGACACAGAATCGGAAACAAGCTCCAGGCTCTGAGCCATCAGCCCAGAGCCTGACGCGGGGCTCGAACTCACGGACCGCGAGATCGTGACCTGGCTGAAGTCGGACGCTTAACCGACTGCACCACCCAGGCTCCCCCAGAGTCTGCATTCTTATCAGCGTTGCCCTCCTTCAGGCCCTCCCCACAGTTCCTCACAGGCTGACCCTTCTTCCCTTCTTGTTCAAGAGAATGCTTTAACGACAAATATCACTACAGCAGTTTGGTCTTTCTGAAGCATGATTTCGAACTTATTCCCCTGCTTGAAAACCCTTGGAACTTCCCCCCACCCCCACTTCTGATGCTAACAGAATAAAGCCCATTCTCTGGGCTAGAGAGTCAGAGATGTGACCCCAACAAGCTCCCGGCTCCCTGGGGAACTTCTCACTGTGCCTGGCTCCCCTCAGGCACCCCTTTCTTTAGCGATCCTGCCCGAGCCTGCTTCCCGCCCTGGCAGTGCGCAGGGGTGAGCTCTGAATGGACCTTTTCCCGCCGAAGAAAGGCTGCATGTCTGAGTCCCCTTTGAACCACCAAAGCTTCTACCACAGTGTGTCACATAGAACTAGGCACGACACACGTGATGAAGGAATAACAGCGGAACTGAGCTGCCTTATGAGGGTGGAAATTATTTCATTAAACAACATCTATGGAATCCTTGAGGCTAATACTAACAGCTGATGCTGAGAGCTTAGAAGAGAAAGAGGGACCAAAAGTCTAAACACAAGATATGTGTCAGAGGTCACAATTGCCAAGGAAATAAAATAAAGCCGGGGCAGGAAAAAGACTGCCCGATGAACTGGGTGGTGGTACATTGGTGGCATTCCTACTTATATAGGATCAGGAAGACCTTCCCAAGAAGGTGATGTGTGAGCAGAGCCATGAAATGAGTGAGGGAGTGACCCATACAGCAATCTGTAGACATTCCAGGCAGAGGATGTAGCAAGTGCAAGGGCCCTGAGCTAACAGTATACTTAGCCTGTCAAGGAACAGCCAAGAGGCCTGTGTGGCAGGAGTGGAGTAAACAGGGAGAGAAGGAGCAACTGAGATTCGCAAATACATGAAAATGCTGAGGCCTACATAAATTCAGGCTCTGTGTAACACCATATGTCTGGGTAATAGTCACAGCTAGGATTTATCGAGTACATTCCACATGCCTGCCACAGTTCTCAGCCCTGCCAACGTGGAAACTGCTAGACAGGTTCTCTCAGAATCTACCAGGGAGACAAAGAAACTCCACAGTGTCATGTGACGGGTGCTAGGAAACTACAGAAAAAAGCATCAATCCCAGACCAGGGGCCAGGGAGGCTTCCTGGAGGAGGTGGCCACTAGAGCTGTCACGCAGGAGGAGAAAACTGCTCCAGAACACAGATTCGGGGGGGGGGAGGAGGGGACAGTGGTGGCGTGCAGGCCAGGCAGACCTTGGGCAGCAGTGGGGGTGGGGGGAACTATGCCAACAGTTTGCAGGAGGAAGGGGGCAGGAGAAGGGCTGGGAAGGACAGGGAGGGCTGAGAGAGCCTCTAGACAGGGACACCCCGGCTTAAGCAAGCATGTAGGCAGTTGGTAGCTAGGGGGCGGGACACAAAGGGCGAACAGAGTTGGAGTCACAACTCAATAATCTAGCTGCACACCAAGCGCCCTGCTCTCTCACCGTCATTAGGTGGGTCTAGCTGAGAGACGACAGAGAAGCAGACGGTAAGGGGCCATCCCTGCATTGGGACTTGGTTTCTCATCTTATCCTAGGAAGTTCAGATCCTTTTAGGCAGATCTCAGAGTCCTCACCCTGGAGCGGCCCAAGACACTAATTCCTCAGCTAATAATGACTCACATGCTGGCTGCACTTTGTGGTCTTCAGTGCGCTTCCACTGCCATAACCTGTGTGCCTCACAGTCAATCTAGGATGGACAGAGCTCTTTCTTTCCATAGGAGACGCTGCAGCTCACAGAGATCAAGGCCTTGCCAAAGTCACAAGGCCAGAGGGTGATCAAGTTGGGAATCCAGCCCAGGTCGTGAGATTGCAAACTCCATAGCAACACTGCAGCAGCTTTGGAAAACTGGGCCCAGCGATGGCCAATTCCCAAGGACAAGCCTGGGAGAGGGGAGGGAACAGGCTCTGGAAGGGGGCAGGGGTGATGGAGGCAGGAGTGGAGGCAGAAAGGAAGCAGCATCTTGGGAATGGGGATGGGAGTTGGAGACGCTTTGAGACAGAGCTAGAAGCCTCTCCAGAAAGGCCTGGTTAGATGGTCCAGCAGGGCTGAAAAAAAAAACAAAAACAAAACTCAAAAAACCAGCACCTGCATCCTCCCACACCAGGCCTCTGCGACAAGGTAGGGAGGGGCCCATTGCTCCCATTTCACAGGTGGGAAAATGGAGGCAAAGGAGAGGTGCCTATATGGCTTGCCAAAGGCCCATAGGAACTGAGGGCCCAGGGGCCCTATTAGAAGCCAGGGAGGGTAGATGAGCCAGCCGTGGGAGACTTTCCCCACTCTGCCGTGGATGATGAAACAGATGAGAGGGGAGGTGGAAATGGAGACAGAAATCTGGGACGCATCCAGAGGCAGGGAAAGGGGAGGCTGAGGCTTGAACAGAAAGAACCTGTCAGCGGCAGAGATGGTGGAGCGATAAGGCTCTGACACCCAGCTCCAGTTACAGGCAGGCAGCATCAGCTGGTCGGGTGTCACGGAGTCCCCGCGCCTCCTCCCGCCCTGCGGACCCATCCACTTGGGTGGCTCTGCAGCACGCGCTCCCTAGTCCCGGGATGAGGGTTCAGGGTGGAGGGGACGGGGGGAGGGGGCGGCGCGCCTCCTCCTCCCCACGGGCTTGTAAATCCGCAGCGGCCTCCGCAGCAGCCTCCCAGCCCGCCCCCGGGCCCCCTCCTCCTCCTGCGCCTGAATGGTACATTCCGGTCCGCCTGGCCCGGCTGCAGTGGATGTTGCTAGAACCCACGCGGAGGAAGGAAGAGACGCAGGCAGGCTGCGGTGACCCAAGCGGCCGCCCCTGCCTCAGGGACCCCTTCCCGGAGAGACGGCACCATGACACAAGGAAAGGTACCGGCATCTCCCCCACCTGCACCATCATCCTTCATCCTTTGGCTCCCCGCTCCCCGTCATCCCGAGCAAACTCTCTGGACCACTATAAGCATCCTTCCCCGGCGCCTGTGCGAAGGTCCTCTGTGGTCCTTGTTGCAGTCAGAGGACCAAAAGGCGCATTTCAAGTGATAGGTCAGGGCCTCTTCCTGCCCAACAAGCCCTCTCACCCCAGGGGCTCTGGCATCTCAAGACCCTTCACAGGTACCCAGTTTCCCTTAAGGAATCAACCTGGGTGTCCAGGGTGTGGTGGGGGGACTATAGGGGGGCACCTGGGTGAGCCCCAAGGAGTGGTGCCTATCCTGCCCCAACCACATTATGCTCATCTTTCCCACCTCCACAGAAACCCCCACCCCCACCCCCCAGCCAACTCATTCCACATCTGGACACATGCTTTGGGGGGGGAGGGGATTACTATGGCAACCCTGCATCAGGATGCTTTAATTTTTGTTTTTGTTTTGGCTCGACATGGGACTAGATGGAACCAGATAAAACGTCGTCTCTTTTTTTCTAGTTTTAGGCCTGAAATGGAGGGGAAGGGCTGGGGCAGAGACTTGGCTGGCCTAGTGTGGTTACATAACATCAACAGCCTGTGGAATTATACAACAATCAGGGCCTGGGGCAAAGAGGGAGGGTCCTCTGGCCCTCTGTTTTGGGGGTGCCAAGGATTGGGCAGAGAAAACAGAAGAGGAGCCTCCCCTACACTCCCCCTTCCTTTCTCCAAGATGAGCCTCAGAGCCAATGGCATCCTTCCCTGGGCTCTCAGACCCTCCTCTCTGTTTTTAATCTCCTGAGACCTCAAAATGATGTCACTGGTGATACCACCTCCTGCCATTGGGCAGACCTCACTTGGGAATGAGGGTGTGTGTGTGTGTGTGTGTGTGTGTGTGTGTGTGTGTATGGGGGGCAGGGCCCAGGAGGCTCTGGGGCTGATCGGCAGGGTGGGGGTTGGGAGGAGGGCCCATTCGTGACAGGGCTGAAGTCAGAGGTGATAATTCTTTTCCTGGGTCTGGTTTCAAAGGACCTTGGTTCTGGTGGGCTGAAATGGGTTTTCCTGGATGTGAGCCTTCTGGTCTGGATGAGGAAGGAGGTTGGGGAGTGGGAGGGCAGCAGGTGAACCAGGGCCCCATTCTCACAGGCCTAGGCTCCTCAAGGCCCTTCCCTAAGGAGGCCTGGGGGGTGTTCACCGGGGTGAAAATGAAAAGCCCCCTCCCCACACCTACTGCTGATTCCACCCCCCCACCCCAGTCACTTTGCTGACATCGCCTCCTGTCCTCAATGAAT